TAGTCATTATAAGTGCTGCCTGATTATGAATGATTTTTCATGGACATGTCCAAATCCTCAAAGCTAATAAACACATCAAACCTCCAAAGTGTTAAAAATTCAACTGGCCAACATAAATACAGGTGCTTGGGTTTTACAGTTTGAATGCCTGTACCCCTTCTATTTCATTGTTTCTGCATGTTTACATAGTTTTTTAATTTTGTAGATATTATGACGCTTAATTAACAGCCAAACCAGGCTCGAGACCTCCACAGAGAAGTGTCTGTGTGTGTGTGTGCTGTGAATGAAAAGGGAGGTGGGTTGTTGGCAGAATGCGCAGACTCCAACAATTACTGTTCCCAGCTGGGGCTGGCATAAACCTCTGCACTGGCTTCCTGGGAGGACTGGGAAAGCTAATAGAGGAGGTGGCTGTGGGTAATGTTGTACAGTAACCCTTACACATACTCATTAGGAGCCACTTCTGAAGGCCTCGTAAACACCACAGAGCCATGGATGGTGCAGGTTCAAGTCAGTTAAGTACAGTCGTATAGTCAAAGTGGGGAGGATGGAAAGAAACACTATTGAGCAGTGAATTTTACTAACTGACTGACGGACTCAGTGGCATTCCAGCATTGTTTGATGGACAGATTATAAAATGGCAAATAAATAGTACAGATCTGAAAAATGCATGTATATATATACAGAAAGTATACAGAAAGCAAAGAAGAGAAAATAAAAAATTACCTCTTTCTGTTTAATTAGCATCACCTTGTCATAAAGGAGCTCATTCATATACATGCAGGACTTAATAATGGAATTTATAAGCACTTAAAGTTACTTTCACTGACTCACACGCTGCTATTATTTTGTTTGTATAACTCTAATAAAAGAATGACAAGGCTTCAAGATGGTGGCACATTGAGGGGCAGTTTGAGAATTTCTTAGAACATTTTAAACATCTCTTTTCCATCGAATCCCCCCATTCTCCCCTCACCAAGCAAACAGTGGTCTCTCTAAAACCTACAATCATCACTAACTCACACCAGATGTTCCTACTGTACTCAGGAGTGAAGACCCTCCACCAGAAGCCATCGCAATTACTCCTTATACAAACACTATGTATTTCTGTAAAATTCATCAGCAACATTCTTTTTTTATATCGGAGTTCATTCAGCTATAGAACGGTCTTTATCTGTATACACAGATAATAGACAAAAAGGCCAAAAAATGCACAACAATTGAAGACAGGATGCTTCTGCCTCAGGATGCTTCCATCTCTACATCATCATTCATTCTCTCTACCTCTCTCTGTGTCTTTCCACTAGTCTGCTGAAAACTCTTCACCGTGGAAGAAGTTATCAGAGCCCTCTTTGTTCCCTAGGCATCTGTCATTAAGCAATCAGCAATGACGGCCTGAGTCTTCCTGTAGCCCTGGAAAGAGCTCAGAGTGGTGACTGCAACAGTCAGAGGCAAGGAGAAGAAAGACAGGGCAAGTCAGAAACACATGTTACCAAAACAAAGAAAGGGCCAAACTATCTAAACTAATAATTACAACCTGACTTTCCCATAAAGGTCTAGATCAACGCCATATAGACAGTGTCAACTTTTTCGATACGAGCTGCACCACTTGCTCCTCTCTCTCTCTCTCTCTCTCTCTTTCTCTCATCTTCTGTCTCAGGTGAGCTGCTGGGGTGGGGGTGGGTGGTCAAAACCACAGTGTGAGCGATAACAGCCGTCATCACAGCATTCCTTGTGACCCTACAGGCTAATGCCATGTGAAAAAGGCTCATCCATGGTTCGCAGGTTCTCAATACCGCCACTCCACCGGCAGTGGCTGTCATCCCCCCTGCGGTCTGTGACCCCCAGCAACTTCCTTCTCCGTTCCCACCACAGGCACCCCTGTCTGGGTGGAAAGAAGGAGGGTGCAGTGGGGTGGGGGGGTGGGCTGTGATTACCTGGGGGTCAAACACAGGATGTGGGTAACAAAGGGAGAGTTCTTCGAACCCACTTCATTCCAATCCACAATCTGTGCTTGAACAGCCACGGAATTCAAACAGCGGCGCCAAACAAAGCACAGGTATAGAGAAGTCAATGCTGGTTTTACAAAAATTCACACGATCAGGAGAAGGGATCCAGAGGGAGCACAAGTATGCTCTGCTCAGAAACAGACCTACTTTTAACAAAGTTGTCTGTTAAGAGCTGTTATAATGACTGGAAAAGTTGGAAAAGAAAGAAACACCCCACTGGTAGGCAGTGAAAAGTATAAATTAGTTATGTGTGATGGATGAGCTGCTTCTCATTATTTCCTATTTTTGGCATTGTAAGTCCAAACCAGACCTCAAGGAGAGCAACATTAAATGCAATATCAAATCTCAGTCATTTCAGCATTTTCCCTCCGCAACAAATGTATCCATAGAGAAACAGTTTATTCATGCCAAGTGGACTTTCGTTTGGACAAATCTGTGCAAGTTTCTGCCCTCTTCCTCCACAGAGCATGTTGGGCAGGTGCTGTGTCTCCCTCTTTAATTCAGGACAAGAAATCTATTCTTAAATATCATAATTTGTCACCAGACAGTAATTTTATATTTTCCATGCTCCCTCAACCCCTATTGGTGCAGGAATCGGCTGTGTTAGGATAGTGGGTAGAGGGTGGGGGTGGGGTGAAGCTCTGTGGAGTGAAGATTGACAGGGTGGCTTTGAAACCTCCACTTTCTCTCTGTAGTCTTTCCAAAACACATCGGTGGCCCCGCCTTGAGACGTGATGGAGTTATGTCGAGGAGTATGACAGAACTGCTGCATCAGTGGCCAGGCAAATGATGAAATACCCACATCAGTGTGTGCAGACCAGAAGAAGCCCATCTGAGAAAATATACTATAAATGAAAATTGCCTTATTTAGTTCACTGTTGTAATTCGGTTTCAGCAGCACACTGTTTATTGAAAAATTGAAAAAAAGAACTCCTCCTGAATGGTTTCATAGTTCTCACTGGTGCAGATGTTGATGAGTTGTATGTTGGTCTGATTGAAATATAAATAAAAATCTGTTCCACAAAGTTACATTGTTAATTGGTAATCGTTCAACTGAATGACTTACTTTCATGATTCAACGAAATACTGGGAATAAAACCACAAAAAAACACTATCAAGGAAAACACCATAAAGCTACCAATCACATGGAATGGCAAGTACAGGATCTGACTGTACAGTGGGACATAAAACCAACAGAATAGCTCCATGCTAAGAGGCTCTGGAGGGCCATTTCAGCCACTAGGAAAAGGTAACCATGCGTTTTACAGCATCTCTCATTAACAGGCAGCCCTTGGGTGAGAGTGACAGAGGAGGTTTCAACCCTGCGACTGCAGGCTGGGAGCTATAAAAGGCAGTTAGCTCACAGTGTCACAGGGTTGCTCCACAGGTATGTGTGTGAGTATGAGAGTTTGTGGGTAGTGTCCGTACAGTACATATATGTCAGTGTGTGTGTTAAGACTTAGCTGCACAACAAGTTTAGAGTGCATGTGTATGCACGTGTGCTTTGCACACAGCATGGAGGCATCAGTGGACTAATTTAAAATGCTCCCACCTTTAGAGACCTCTCCCCCTCTTTCTCCCTGTGAGTGGTTTGCCCCCATGCCCTTTATCCTCCAGACAGGGAGGGTTGTTTTCTCACCCAGGGAAGGGGGAGACGGCAGCCCCTGTACCCCACTGAGAAGGGAACATGGGGAGCTCGGCCAGCAAGAGAGAGGGGCCCCTGGTTCCCACATACCGCTCAGCGTTAGCGTTTCGTGCTGCTGCAGCGAACCTACAGTAAACTCACACCCTGAGTCACAGCAGAGCTGTCAGTCTTCCCAGTGAGCTCAACCTCAGTGGGCTTCATTAAACACATCACTTCAGACCATCAATTAACTCCACATTGAACCCCACACTACAAAACTAGCATCAAAATGGTATCTAGTGCAGCAAATTTACTATATTTCAAAAATAAGATGTGAACAACAAATCTTCTTGTAAAAGCATATTATTTAAAAAAATATTAAAAGGTTATTAATCACTTTGACAGTGATATGAAATATATTTTCTTCTTAGAATACAATGAAAAAAATCTTATCAAATTATTGATATTACCTTTCCATTAGGATGTTGCTGTTAATTAAGAAATCACATTTTTTTAAATTTGGTATCAAGTTTTGTTTTTGATATAACATTGATTATATGTTTATCTCTCTAACTATTGAAATACAACTTCTTCTATAAGGAAAATTAATACAGCGGAGATCACATCAATAGGGATCATATTGCCTTGAATTACTTTCCTAATACTTCCCTCAGTGAGAGCATTTTTGATGATAAAAACAGATTGTGCTGTTCATACAATACTACACAGCCGTCCTTTACAGGGCTGAGCAGCAAATGGTTTGTGCGGGACGATCGATAGAGAGGTTTGTGCGTGTGGGTTGGGAAGGGAAATCTTTTGGGGAGGTGCAGTATTTCTGGGACGCACCTTCAATACTATCTAACGGTGAATGAAAAAAGAGAGCACTGATCCAGAAAAAGGTTAGAGGAGAAAGAGGGAGAGAGACGTAAGGGTGAAACTGATCCCTGTTGACCCCTTCGGCATGCCCTCTTTCTTTTTATGACTTTCCTCTGAATCGTCACTCACCAGCTCTATCAACACAGTCCAGCCTCCATTCACACACACACACACACGTCCATGTTATACAAAACACTAGCTTCTGCAGGCTGAGCACAATATTATGCTTAATTGTGATGTTTAGAAGCCTGCATTTAAAATGTTTAAAACATTTTATTTGCCAAAAAACTAGCATTTTAATACAAGAATAATAATCCATATAGAGTGAAGTAGTAAGGACTCTGAGTGCATATTTAATGTTCTTGTGCGGAGGCTGGTAGGACAACAGTGTTAAGACTTAGATGGACCACTCACACACACACACACACACCGTTAGGCCACTAATTCTGCACCTGTGTTTCTGTACAGCCTTTGGGGTTTCCCTTTATGGCTTAGACTAAATTAGATGGACCATATGCATTTCTGCACATGCTTAAATACATAACTGCTGCTGGCTGCGGTATTTATAGTTGTACTCTATTTAGCTCTATCTGAGATGGAGCACTGTAAATCAGCAGAGAGGAAACACAAATGGTTAGGCATTGCTGAGGACTGGCACTTAACACTCAGACTGGCCCAGCTCAGTTTAAGAGGAGAGATCAATATGCCTTCAAGAGGATGTCACTCCTCTTCTGGTATGACTGTTAATGACAATACTTGCAGCGTCTGCAGAGTCTTTACATTGGTCATCCTAAAAAGCCTTCTTGCAGCAGACCACAGATTGCTGTTTCAGTCATAACACTACTCTAGTTTTAGCTGTGAAAAAAATCTGAAGCTTTAAAGTGTCAAAACAAAATCTAATAATTTTGTTACTGAGATAGAGCAGAAGAAAAATACGTGTTGCATTTAAAAATAATTTTATAAGCAGTCTGAGCTGCCAATTCATCTGTGAACAGTTTCATCACACATGAAAAGAAATCAAAACACAGGACAGATGTTGAGCAAAACCACATTTAAGCGTTGTCACAAACTGCCATTTTTTCAAATGATTGGGGCACATCTATTAAATAAAGTGCAGCTACAATGGATTCTACATGGCTGACGCATAAGGAAATATTTAACCAGCCAATTGCAGCCAATTAACTTTGATCACGATGACTGCGTTTGGAATCTCAGTCACTCGTCTGTCTGGGAGAGTATGAACATTTTCTTTCTCTGTCTCTCTCGTTTTCTCCTCCTTCTTGGGCTTGCTTCATGTAACACAGCCGAACATGGTGGTGAGTAATGAGACTTGGCAGACTGGCCGCAGATCTCTTCACACTTAAGTATCAAACAAAACATTTCCTCTACTGTGAGGTCAGCATAAAGCAGGACACTGAGGAAAAGAGCTGGGTCAGTGGGATCAGATTCACTGGGAGAAAGAGACTGAGAGGACGAGACAGACAAAAATCGCAAAGATAAAAACTCAATAAATCGTAGACAGAGAATTGGATAAAGCTATAGCTGAGGGAAATAATATTGAGATAATTGCTTTGTTTATTGCTAAATGTGATGAGCACTGATAGTTAGCTGGCTTAACATCTGGATCAGGGTAGAGGGTGTGCCTCATGTCTGTGAATGTGTGTATATGTATGAACAAATGTGGCACACACTTTTCTGTACATATAGTCTGACCCTCTGGTCGTTCACCCCTCCTCCCCAGGGTGAAGTAGACACTCAGACACCCCAGCGCACACACACACACTCACATACACACCCTTGATCCCTCTACTCCTTTGCCCCAGGGGCAAATTTTACACTAGCTGTACATGAATCAGGCGGGCAAAGAGGCGTGGGAGGGGAGGCGGCGGGGGATTTCATGCTGTGACGGAGGGGTCTATGGTGTAGGTGGACAGCGACACCAAGCACACAGCATGACACTCAGACAGACAGAGCGGCCACAGAAACACTAGAGCCTGACAAATTGAGCTGGCCGCTATGGGAGTGGGAAGGAGGTGGGGGCGGTGGGGGCAGGGCCGGTGACCCAGGCTGACAGCACATGTAAAATTCATGGTATCCCTTGAGCTCCGAGGTAATACTTCACCATTATGAGACTGATAACTGAGAAACCGGCTCCACGCTATGAAACAGTTGTTGACCACTAAAATCGTCACAAGTTGAACAGAAGGCATTTGTGCAGAACAGGAACATAGCAGAGGTAAAGAAAGCTTAGAGAAGAGAGAAAAACAAACAGACGTACCTCTAAGTCGTTAAAGAATAAGTGTGTGTCGGCCAAGTTGAAGATCATTTCTTCCATCCTCAGGCCTAGTGATACAGATGTTGGCGGATCCTGAAAAATAGATAAAAAACAATTAAATCACATAAAAATCTTTCTTCTGAATATTGAGGTAATGTTCCATTTGAAGGAGTTAATGTGAAACAATAAATAATGCTGTTCCCTCTGAGTCACTCAATTAACACAGAATCCCTTTAAATTCCACAGCAGGGTATTCCCATAAAAGAAGACATTAGGCGGACTTGAAAGTTTCAGCCTCTGTTTACGACTCCTCCGAAAAGGACCAGAATAGTCATCAGAAATGCCTCAGACTTGAATGAATGCAGTAAAAGCATGTCTCTTCTCAGGAGGGGTGGTCGATTTAGAAGAGTTGGGGTCACAGTCTAATCGTAAATAGCCCATTCTCCACATACCTGTGCTGATGCATCATCTGATTGCTCTTTAGGTGATAGATGAACACAATTGCCCCTGAGGCAACCACTCTGAGGTGTTTATTCATATTTAAAACTATTCAACTGTAAAATTGACGGAAACTGACGGTTCCCTGAATCGAGCACAACTGCAATTTTTACTTAAATCATGATCTCTGTCAGTAATGTGACACGTGCTGTAATGGTGATAGGATTGCACTGTCTGTAAGATAATACCTAGAGAGGAGTGAACTACACTGTAAATAGTTAATGAGCCTGTGACAATGTGTGCGATTTTCCCTTTAAAAATATAATGAATAGGCAAAAAGTCACCAGTGCATTTTCTCATTAACATTATTACTAAGATATGAGCGTAGCAGTTATTTTTCACGTGCTAACAAAACTGCTCATACACATTTGTTTTAGGAAATTCACTGCCCGTACCATTCTAAACTTTCTGTTCAGTCATACATCATACCCAGTATATTATAGTTAAATAACTGGATAGAAGTGATTCTGTTCTTTTTTGTTGTTGTGCAAATTCTCCTTTTATCTTAAATCTCTAATCAGCAGATTGTCTTCTGTAAGCAAAGGATGACGAGAGACAATAGAAGGCTGCAGAGGAGGATTTTGTGCAGCTGTGCAAGACTGCATTAAAGACGGGCTTGGAAGGACCAGAAGCAGGGATTACAGAGTTAAACCACCTGAAGACACACCTGAGCTTTTTTACTGATTAGCTGTCACATCCCACAATGCTTATGTTTTCGTTAAAATGACAGAGGACAAACCACACAAGTAGAGCTCAATCCCCACTTCTAGAGGCTTTCTCCTTCCTCTTAAACCCACAGTTCGAATCAATCTTTCAGTCAGAATTCATCAAAAATAATTAGCCTCCCACATCAGCAGGCTACCAGCTCCCTCTCCCCAACTTCTGCCGCTGTTGGGTAATTTAGCATTATGGCCTGGTTTGGTGGGAAAAGGCTGTCTTCTCCGGTGCAAGTGAATCCTTTCCAATTAAATCTAAACAATCAGTCAGTGAGGGAGTTAAGAATACAAGCAGGCCAGAAGGCCAAAGTGCTGCTGCTGTCATTGCTCTAGCACCACCTGTCCCGAGATGTCAGTGCCATCCACTGGGGCGCCAAGTCAACCCCCACCTCCTCCCTCTGAGCCCCTTACCAATAACAACCCCCCCCCCTCCACTTTAAGCTCCAGCTCTGGTCAGCCCAATAGCAGCACAGCTGGCCTCAGCCATCAGCTTTATGAGGGTGAGCTGCCTTGATGCCAATTAAAAGAGCTGATAAGAGCAGCAGTGTGTTTGGGAGAAAAAGAGAGTCAGAGAGAGTGGGTGGGAGGTCACAGAGAGTGAGAGGAAGTTTGAATGTGCACTCACTCAGATACACATCTATTTATAGTAAGCTTAGAGCAGCTAGGAGGGAAAACTGTTTAGTAACTTTTCTGTTTATGCCACTAAGATAGGGATGACATGAATGACAGACAGAAGGGAAGACAAGGGGGGAGACAGGGTGGTTATTGTGGTGGATGAGTGGTTGTGGGGGATGTTGGTCTGCTTCACTTTCTTTTCTGAGGTAGTTTACAGATCTGCCTTTCTGATAGGCTTTGAGGTAGCGTGCTCTGTGGTTGCTGTGAGTAAGCATGCCTCCCTCTTATAATATTGCTTTAATGTGATAGTGTCAGCAGGTCGGAGCATGAGGGGAAGAGAAACTTCGGTAAAAAAAAAGTGAGTGAAATGGGCAGAGGAGGAGAAAAAGAGGGAACAAAAGAGAAAACAGAGAGTGAGAGGGACTCTAGCGGCTGTCACATCCTATATAAGCTCTGATGGAATGGGCCCTTATGGAGTCAGGAGTGTTTCCTGTTTCTGAGAAGCACACTGGAGACCCTGTGTATGCGTGTGTGTGTTCATATGTGTGTGTGGTTGGAGAGTCCCTCATCACTGAGCCACAGCTCCCTAAGCCTTAGCTCTCTCTTTACCCAGCATGCAGGGCCGAGAATAAAGTAAATAAACAGTGGAGGGTCGCGGGGCAGCCCTCTTTCACCCCAAAAACAAAACAGTGCCCCCATCAAACACCCCCTCATACCAGAACAAAGGCACAGAGCACGGGCCGCAGACGCTAAGCTCTCTGACATATAAGGAGCAATATGTCATTTTTTACTTCAAAACCAGACACCTCCCTAGCCAAAACAACCGGTGATTAGAAATACTGCTCTTAGACAAAATAAAAAAATAAAATGCAGATTCTTTAAGATCCTACTGTTATTTTTCTTCATGAGTCCTATATCTAAATGGGAAAGTAAGCACGGATGAACTACTTTGAAAGCTATATAGAAACCATGACCTCAACGAAACCATGAGAATAGGATTCTGTCTTATTTCCCAAATTGTTTGTTTTGAAAGTTTAAATTTAGAGAAGCAATTTACATGGAACAACAAATAGCAAAGCCTGGAAAAGTAAACTCTTCATCTTATGAGCATACACAGCAACGTGGGATGTAAAATGAGCCTGCAGTATAATAATAATATATAATTGTTGATATTTATATATACATATGTAATATATTTTAATTTGAATCCTAATTAAAGCAGGTTTAAGGGAACCTCTATGTTCCAGTTTTGAGTTTTGACTGAATTACATTTGGTGGACTCACTCTCCTGCCAGGGTCTCTGGGGAGATCCCTGCCTGAAAAGGATGGATTGAGAAGCACTTAATTAAACTAACAATGTGGCATTTCTGAAGGAGAAAGGAACACTTAAGATGTGTCAATAGACATCCAGAGTGCAACTGTTCTGAGCCCCTACAGCCGAGCCCCGACCAGCCATGCATAGCTCCAACAGCTGCAAAGAGCAGTCAAATACTTGCCAAGCCTCATTGGACCTATTAAAAAAAGAAACAATTATCTGTACATTGAGTTCTGCTCTATATTCTCACTATGGACTCAAGGCACAGTGAAATCTATCCTCCACTCAATGGCCACTTCCCCCCTGCCACATATCCTTTTTTTTCTCCTTTTAATATTTATGTGTTTTGCTGATAAAGTGCACCGCTACTGCCACAGTCTGATGTCACTCACCCGTCCATATCTGTTGGCATAAGAACCCGTAAGCAAGGAATGGAAAACGATGATTGTTTCATCCAGGTCCCAGATGAAAACTCGCTGGAGAGATGGGGTGCGGAGGGGGAAGAAAGAAACAAAGAAAAACAGAGAGAAAAGAGGCAAAATCAATGGTGCACTCTGTAGGGCTGCAAGGTGATCCTCCTGGTCAATAGGCCAGGAGCGTGTATTTGTGCGCCACAGGGACCAGGATCCATTTGCTTGGGTTGGTCACCGCAACACTCCTCCCATCACCCCACCACATGCTTTCCATCCCCTGCCCTTTACATTAGAGTAATCAATAGTGACAAACTAATTAACTAGATATGTTAACATGCCATGATGTCAGTGCTATAATGGCTGCTATTAACCTTGTTCAAATTCATATCATATTAATGAAGAGCCCTCTGAAATACCAAGAGTTTATTTTGACATATGGTCACTATCAAAGTGTTTTATGGTGCAATGGTATCATTGTTAGTCACAGCTAGAGTCTTTCATGACTACAATATATATATTATTCACTTCAGCGATGACTCACTTAATTATATGCCTTATTGTTTATTAACGAGGTATACATGAGAACTTTATATAAGATATGTGTTTAGTGATGTCATATATTCCACAATGCATAAATAATGCAGTTATAGTTAAGGAATCAAATCTTTAAGAATTAATGTGTTAAAGCTGGTGTGGCAGCCATATAGTAAGTGGATTAGTGTCCATGTGCCTCAGACAGGGCGAGGCTGTCTGTCGCCAAGGTAGCGGGCTCACCCTACCTCAAGGTCGGAGTCAGGCGGCGGTGATGGGTTGTTGTTCCTTCTTCCCCGGCCACGTGACTTTCCATCCGAGGCCCGGCGCAATCGATCTGAATCTGAATCTTTAATGGGGGTTGATGGACTGTGGATGGTACTGTACTCTACTGCTGAAAGGAAGGAAAGAAAGAAGGAGAGTATAAAAAGAGTGTATCGAAGATGAGCTATTATTTGCTTTTAGCAAAGAAGTGTGAGTGACCATTTGTCTTGATGCAGAACAGACAGCTTCCTGGGGACATTTTTAGTGTTTATGCAGGTAACCAACCTTTTATAAATCAGTTTCAGAACACATACTAAAAGCTACTGTGCTCCATGCTGATTTAATAAGTTAACGGAGTACATGCCAACTAGGAATAGCAAAGATGTCTTTTATCTAAATTGGATGACTGTGTATGAAATTGTGTTTAGTTGAAGCCTGATGTCTTCGGTGTTGATTGATGACAATTTCAAATGCAGTCATAAAGGTTTGACTGACTTATAAAGATGCAATCAGTGCTCGACTGCCAAATGATACATTAATGTCACATGCAATTATGGGAAATTCTACATCTGATTTCAGTTTTAACTTAGTTATGTCTTGCTTGCCATACTGCAGTACACTGGCTGAAACGATTTCCTACTCATATTGTGCATCTGGGTTAGTACAAATAAAGATTTCGTTATTTTGCTCATGCTCTCTAATCAGGAACAACTTGCAGTCAGTGAGAAGGAGGGGGTTCAGTGGCCCGCTTGTTCATTTAAAAAAAGAAACGTTGGCCATAGCAGGATCAAACTCCTGATATTCAGGTTACACAAGTTGATGCTTACCTGCAGGGTTCTCTGTGAGGGCCTGGCTGGTTATGCCAGTGGGTGGCTCCTGGAGGGTGTAGGTGGTGGTGGTGGAGGGCGTGCTGGGGCTGGTGTTGTTACTTGTCATGTAGGGTGAAGTGTAGGGTGAGCTGTTGTAATACTGAGCATACTGCCCCTGGCCAAAGGCTGGATAACTGGGGTATTCCTGAGTAGACAAATGGTAAAAAGGTAGGTTACATTTGGATAAAGACAGGGATATGGAGGAAAAACAAGAGATAAAGAAAGATATGTACAATATGGTGCGACAAGGAAGGTTTAGATAAAAAAGGTGGAGGCAAAGAGAAACAAAAGGTAGAAGAGTTGAGGAAGAGAAGTAGTAGGTTTGGCAGAGTAATGTGAGATATGCCCTGCACCAGTGTTGCTACTTTACAGTGCAGATTCCAAAACATAAATGCAAACACATGTCTGTTCTGTCCTACATCTGGACAACGATCTGTCTTGTTTTTTTTTCCCTCTCCCTTTCCTCTGTGGCATAATACATTTGTGTTGGGGGAGGTACAGTAGATAATCCTGCGTACAAAGCTTTTGACATCCTGAGTGATTTATGTCTGAATATGTCACGGATGAAATGTAACATATTGAGTATGCATGTTTCATAAAGATTTCCAGGTTGGGAAGAAGTCTGCGATTTAAACTTTTATAAACTGATAGCTGCATGCTGATACCAGAACACAGAGGTAGAATGAGCAGAAGGAAGTGCACAGCTACCTGTTGTGTGCTGTTGAAGCCGGTCGAGTTTGTCAGGGAGTTGTTTCCTGCATACAATCCTGATGTTGTTGTGAAAGTACCACCTTTAGGGAAAAAGAATAAACCTTTTGAGTTATGTATACACCATAGTATATATAAAGAAAAACATGATTAAATCTGCTCGACTGCAAGCAGTGCTGTGGCAGAAATGAAATGACACATTGTTAGCGGGGAAAAAGATTAGTCTTTTGTGAAACATCTATTTGAGGTGGTGAACAGAGGGATGCCTGAGGGAGCGCTCCCAACAGTGGCCTTATCTTTCTCCTCTTCCTTCCATATCAGTGATTGGATCATGCCTGATGAATGACAGAGGGGGCAGAGAAGGGTGAGGGGTGGACAGAACCTGCTTCCAAAGCTGTCCAAGCCCGCACAATGTGAGGAAGACAAGAGACTGCTGTGTGTGAGCTCCCAGAGGGTGGCGGGGGGGGGGGGGGGTGTAGTGGAAACGGTGGATGCACTGGGACTGAGTATGAGGATGCCAGGGGGGCTTTGCACAAGCAGTCTAGTGAGACTGAGCTGTATACAGAAGGAGAGTTGAGGTCGCAGTGAGTAGCACTTGGGGGGGTTAGCTGCTGACATCCAGCCCCAATGAATATGTATGTTCGCTTGCTCAAAGGATGGTCCTCCTGGGTAATTAAATCATTCAAAGGGGTTGATACCATCTAATGGCTTAATAATATACATGACATGAGTTATAGAGGAGAGGAGCAGTGGCGGCCCCCGGGGCACGACTTCTCTCTTCGGTAGTCATCCACCTGTACTGTCATGTCAAGCAAGAGAACAGCAGGAGGGGTAGCTAAAAGGGGATCACACACTGGTAGAAAGGCAGCAGGGTGACATGGCATGAGAGAGCATGGGTGTGCTAAAGCTAAAATGAATTCATTTAAAAATTGCTTTATCGCACTAAAACATTTTAATTTGACTTAATTTGACCAAAAATTGCTTCAAATTTGCAAATCATTAAATGAAAAGAAGCTTTGAGAAATCTTATTGTACGAAAGCTTAACATTATTAAAATGCAGTCAAGTAATTCTCTGTCTCTGCAGCCATTAGCATGTTATAAAAAGCGGTTAATGACAAAGCGGCCAAAACAAAAGCCTGCGATTACTCTGATAATTAAGCTGTGAGTAGGGAGCATTTGATTTAGGCACTCTAGATGCTGTAGAATGATGCTCTCATTGGGAAGGCCAAAATTGCCACTGACATTAATATAGGATTATTTATGCAGCTTGGTGTACGTACATTATTCAGCATGCTAATATAATATATACAATCATGTATAAAAAACAACACCAATAGTAAAGCTTCTGGCTTCTGGTTGCTGACTTTCTCTACCTAGTAACAGAAACTTGAGCCTAAAAGATTTCATCACAAATAATCTATTAAAGTGTCATAGCAGTTCTTCAACCTTAAAAATGCGGCCCCAGGGCTTTATTACTCCTTTCTCTTCATACAAAGACAAATTGCCTCTCCATACATCCACAGGGGGACATTAATTAGCACTACCATTGCATTCTTTAAAAAAAGCTTCTTCACTCATCACCCCAGTGTTCCCTCCCTAGCCAAAAAAATATCCCGTAGCTTCAGTGAAAATGAGCGAGAGGGAGATAAATTTACTGTTCCTAAATGGGGGCGTAATTACACCTTTGTTCCCAGAGACAAACAGAGGGAGTTCCTTTCATCCTCTGGTCATTGGCCCCATCAGGAGGGCCCTCCCACACCGTGACAAACGTGAAGCAGCTTTCAGAACAGTTGGAAGGATCAGGGAAGGGAGGGGGGGAGTGAAGGGTACCGTATGGAAGAAAGCATGGAAAACAGAAGACGTAGTGCAGTGTTTAGCATTGTCAGGTAGCTAAGTACCCTGCACTGTGGCCAAAAAAGAGAAACAAATACCTCCCAAGCTCCCAAGATTACCAGGATCCACTAATTATTTGTGCAGTTTCTCATTCTCGGCTTCCAGCAATTACACACACAGCAGATTTTGACCTTGTTCTTCATTCTGGCATCTAACGGTTATTTTCATCAGATCTGTTCTCGCTCTTTGTTGTATTGTTTGATATTTCAAGGCCTGTGGGAGGAATTTTAAAATGTTTGTGTTCTCCGCAGAAAGTTCAACGTCAAGTGAAAGTCTGACAGAACAATAAGACAGAGATGAGGAGGAATTAAACTGCGAAGGACAACAAATTAGCCTAATGCACAGTTCAAACAGTCATAAAAGCTCTCACTGGCAGGGTTTGAGGGTTGCTCTGTGGAGAACAAGGAGCCACATAAAAGCAGACGGGACCCCTGCTAGCCCAGTGAGAATGAGCCCATGCTGTTGGGAGTGGTGGTGCTGGTTATAGCAGGGGGAGAAAGAGGGGGTCTTGTGGTTCCCCCAGGGGGCATGTTTTCTCTCCCTCCTCCTGTCCTGCTCCAGTTAGTTCACTCACTCAAGACCAGACATCACCCCTCCCTCCTCTCCTCCTTCCCTCCTGCCTTCTGGCTCCACAATTGGAAGTCCATTTGCTTTGCTTGATCAGTCCCCTTGCCATGGGCTATGTCTATCATCAGTGCACAATATTTGTAGCAGAAGTTTGTATGCCCCACTTGGGAATAGGCTATCAAGTCCAGATGGGGCTCTCCTTTTAAAAAGGCAACCGAGGCTTCAGCTTCTTCAGCTTGCACTGCCACTGGGACAGAATGCTGGAATCCAATTATTCACCTAATTAGCATCTGCTCAGTCCCACCATCAGCACAATCTCTGTCTCCTTACACACCTCTGATGTTTTAGGCTTTTTCTGACAATCCACGGGATGCACTACATAAACTGGCACACGGGACTGCAAAACTAAGGCGCACAAAGACGCCTGTGCCCTTTACAATTTGGTGCCACAACTTTAGCGCCTACACAAAGCTCCACTGCATTGGACATGAAAGCAAGGAGCAAAAACATTAATCTAATCGTCCTCCGCCTTGACAGCTGGCCACACGCTGGTGGCAGGGACACTGACGGAGAGGGGGAGTATCAGATGTGGAAAAAAGAGTCTTTGGTTGGGACACCCAGGCCCGAGGCACCTCACCCAGGCAGATCAATAGGCCAGAAAGAGTAATGATGATGGTGTGGCGGAGGGCCAGAGCCACAGTTAGAGATCCCAAGGCCAGAATAGTGGTCAATCTGTCATCTAACATGGCTGTCAATTACTAACGCACTTAACGCTACGTGGGGCATCCGATAGCCAGAGATAGCAGGAGACAGTGAGGGAGAGACAGAAACAGACGGAGAGAAACAGAAAGACAGAGTAAGAGCATAATACTTAGAAGATGAATGGGCACATAATACTGTCATCGTGAGTTAAACCACTAAGGGCAGGATAGCAGCTTCTGCATTCTGCCGCACATGCGTCCAGCTCTTGTTCTCTTTCTTTCTCTCTCCCTCTCTCTGCCTCTCCTTTTTCAGGCGCTCGGCTGCACTCTGCAGAACTCCGGCTGTGGCCGACTGTATTTGGTTAAGAGGCGTGGAAAAGAGGCTTCCCCACGCCACATCTGCTGCTGAGCTGGCGTTATTTATTGTGAGATGCTCTGGAGGCTATTCAGGAACATGTGGAGATGTTTCTACTGTCACACATTAGATATTGCCGGAGAGAACACAAAGACTGTGCTAGCTGTTAGCTAACTGTCCCTGCCTAGTGCAGGTGGACCAGAGGCTTTGTTTGAACCAATACAAAGAAAGAGTAATAGAAGCACTACATGACAGAAGGCCTGTCCACATTCAAACAGGCTGTATGACTGGACAGAGAGAGCAAAAGAGGGGGAGTGCAGTGCGCAACAACTCATCTTTATCGGTTTCAAGGCCATAAATCTCTATGGTCTCAGCTCTTAAACAAATACAAATATGATCACAGGGAGAGAAAAAACAAAGGCTGGGGAGTGGGGAGCGACATGGCTGGTGCCTCCTAAGTGCCTGCCATTTTTCCATCTGTGTTGATTCTTTTAAGAGGAGAGGAAAGGAGAGGGGGGCAGCCATCATGGCTGCGCATAACGACCGCCGGGATGCAGCCATCTTTCGGGGTGAGGGAGAGGGCCGTGTAGTGAATCAGTCTGACTCTGCATGCTATTAAATCAGGGAGAGAGACCTTTTCCTCTAATCTTTTTTTAAAAGGAATACAATAAACCTTATTTGGAGGGCTAAGCAGAGGGAACACGTGGCAAAAGTGATGAAGACAGAGGGGAAAAAAGTGATAAGGGACATTGGCAAAATAATGTAAAAGAGAGGACAAAGTAGATGAGTACTTTGGCAATGAGGTTCAAAGGACAAAAATAGATACACGGAGAGAACAAAACAGGAAAATGCATACTAGCAACCAGATTCCCACCGTATTTTTCTTAGTATTTAACACATAGTGTAACATATAACATGATACAACAGTTGATGTAACCGTTAAAGTGGACATGCTGCCAGCTTTAAGAGAGAGTGATGGCATCTCGCGCTGTATTACGACACCATACAAACACCCAGACTGACTTGGGAAGACGCACAGAGAAAGAGATGAAGGTTTCAAAAAGATGTCCTCACCCTGCATCTGGTAACTGTAGGGGGCCTGTCCTGTCTGCGGCGTGGTGAAGCCGGAGCTGTAGCTTAGGAAGCCCGTCTGTCCAGGGGACTGGGATTGGCTCAGACCCCCCTCTGTCTTTATGCCTGCCCACAATGGACCTAAATCAGTTAGTGACACCAGATCGGTTTGATGCACACACAACAGTCAACAAACAGGTTTAAATTACACTGTACACAGCAAAGGGACACAGCCTCTGTCTGTTAGCATAACACACTAATCACAATGGACGAGCGCTGATTATCTGATTAAAGGTTTTTACTATCGCCAGTTGTTTAGAAATATTATCTCGCACTGGCTTCTGTCTCACTGCAAAGGAATTGGCTGTAAAACCAAAAAGCATGTTAGGACTATGATTGTTTGACTTAATGTTTTCATTAGTATTATTATTATTATCATCTAAGATAGGTCATCTGTCAAAAGATGCACAACAAGTAATAAAACATTCTGCTTGTGTTTGTGAGCTAAACTGGCCACTGCTTACACTGAATCAGTCACGATGCAGTTTCTATGCAGCAGTAGGTTGCAGGACATTCAAATAAACAGTGTAAATTCCTCCACATATTGGAGAGTTTTTTGGGGTCGAAACACTCTAAAGACTTTGGACAAATAAAGCCTTCAGTGAGCCATGTCCTGCATGTGCTTTCTCTTGCAATGCCAGAGGAAACCAGTTTTTGTTTTCAGATTTGTATCTCTAATCTTTCACATCTATCTGAACAGCTTGACAAGCAAATTCTGTTTTATTGCAATGAAGGAGAATATGCAGGCACTAAACAACAACTCAGCATCTCTGCTGCTCTTGCTTTACTGGAGGAATTGTGGGAACATGGTTTGTTATGAACAAGGTCTTGGTCCTGACCTTTGGAAAGGAAAAAAATATTTAGTTGTAGTTTTCTTCCCCTATGCATGTATACAATGCATTACAATTATTAACATGCATCTTTTAGCAAGACAAGAAGTTATGGTGTGCAACACAGAAATCTTACCATAGGCTGGGATGCCATAGGGCTGGCCAGGCTGGGGGTAGCTAGCATAAGCTGCGGCCTGCTGCATTCCTGTGGTGTACTGCGTCTGCCCATACGCAGCCATATTTTGGGATGAAGGGGTAGGAAGAATATGCGGATATGTTCTGCTATTTAAGAAAAGAAACAAAAGACAAGAGTGAGAAAGGAAGGGAGAAAGAAAAGGGACCATGTTTTACCCCGAAGACCATAACACAAACTTTGCTAACTGACAAATTCCTTGTGATTGTGCTACTTCATTTTAAACACGGAGCCAAGCTGTAAGACAGATAGTATCGCACAGCTCATATACATAGTGAAAGAACAATAAATGGCAAAGGAAATTTTTGCAAGATAATAATTACAACAGATTTCAGAGTGCACAAGCTGCAGACATCCAGGCAAACAAAGCCAGTCGAAAACCCCCGATCTAGCAGAAGGATCTAATTAAAGATCCAAATGAAGTTGGATGCTGCTTATTTTTTAAAGAAAAATAAAAGAAGCCTTACTTGGAAGGGTAAATCTGTGGAGAGAACTGGTGAGTTTGTCTTGGGCTGAAGCCACTGGTTCCAATAGCTGAGGAGAGTTAAAAAGAAAAGAGGCAAGCACATATTTAAACATTAAGAAATAAGGTAAATATTATCTTTTGCCAACAGAACTTCTGGAATCCAAGGAAACAGTAATTACATTGCATTACTCTATTTATTTCGGTAACCTTATTTAAGGTTGAAAACCGGAGAGCAATAATGAAGGAAAATAATCAGGTAAGAACATCAGGTTTTTCTGCTGACCCACGTATCTCTGAGATACTTCTGGGCTGCTATGACGACCACTGGTGTAAACACACACAGGATGGTCTGAATCAGTCTCGGCCTGTAGCTTCAGTTGCCTTGGGCCTTTCAAGCCACAACCACATTGGAAGTGACACCGCTGATTGCAGGTAATGAGTGCTACTGCATAATCATTCCTTCATTAAGCGTACGACTATGTGGTTCCACGCTGCTGTTAACTTGTGAGAGCTCAGCCACACATAACTCACAGAAGTACACTTGTTTTGAATCTGAACCAAGAATTATGCAGCATACATAGTGAGCTTTTTGAATCGTCGCTGTTTTAAAGTAACACCTCAAATAAACTCTTATCAACAGGAAAATGTAAATTTATATTGAGATATTACCTGCAGGCTTCGGTTTTGGAAAAAATGTAAAATAAAAAAAAAACCGAACTAAATTAAAAAGAGATCCAGCCTGCAAGACTTCAGTTAACAAGTTGACAGTTGTACTTAAAAAGTACCATTATTAGTTTTATTTGAATAATTTTTTTAAATTGTAGACATAATTTATTGCAAATTAATATCTAGATTTGGAATAAAACAAACAAATGGACTTTAATAAAAGAATAACATTTTAACTAAATTCACTCAAACATCAGCACAATAGAGGCAACAATCACAGTTCTGCTGGATTACTTGCATTTAACTGCACAGTTCTGAAACATCTGTCTAATTGGTCGTGACATGTAAAATAAGGGATTTGGTTGCGGGGGAGCGCTAACTGAATGTAACTGTATGCTGTAACCCCTCACACACGTTATTAATATTGAACACTTTTCCCACATCAGCAGCACCTGCCACTGGACATAACCTGCTCTTTTGAACGGCGCTTTGGGTTTCCCCTGTGGAGGATATGGGGTATAAGATTACTAAATTTCATTAATATTGCCAGAGACAAAAGTCATAGCAGTGATTTATGCGCTTCTAGCGTTAAGTATCAAGTACTTAGTTAAACAGTTAAGGAAATACAGGAAAATTAGCAGCAAGATAAAACCACTCACATTTGGATGCAGTTCTATAAAACATGTTTACAGAAAATATAAGAGACTGCTGCAGCTTGACATAGATACTGGTGAGGGTGGAAAAAAGAAATAAGCTAAAAAATTATCACATTAGTGATTATTTCTGTTACAATTCCTACAATGCTCATTATACTCTGAGGTCTTGGTTTTATTAAGCAATGCCCCTGTGTGTGTGTTTATGTGTGTGTGTGTGTGATGTTCCCGTGCTGAGAGGAGGGTGTGAAAACCCTGGCTCTGACAGGGCGATAGGGTAACAGCCCGTGGAGAGCGAGGGCCACTGGGACGCCATGTCACTCCACTGGACAGACAGGCTCAGTGCATTACAGGTCATAATTCAGTCCTCACTGGCATGGGAACCAGCACACACACACACACA